GAGTGAATACATTTTCCAGTTGGCGTGCAAACATATTTTGCCTTTCTTAGTCACTTTTCACCCATTTCGGGTTGTGACAATATCGGTTTTTTTTTTAGCTTTCTTATTGACTTCCAGAGAGTGTAATAAGTCGCTGCAATCGAGTTAATACTGCTCTGGTAGCGCCGAATTTCCGTCATTGTAGTATCTGGTTTATTGAGTTTTTTTTTAATACTCTTTTCTCTAAATTTCACTCAAAAACAGAAGAGGTTGTTCCACCCTCTCGGCTGCCGGGTGTAGCGAATGAGTTCCATCCGACATGTTAAACGTTTGTATTAAAATGTCCAGTTGCTTTATTGACTTCTTCATCGTACGTTACAGATATTTTTAGATTGGTGATGCAGTACAACAATCTTCTGAAGGTTTTACAGTTCATTCTCTCGTTGTCAATAAATATGAATAGAAGCTCAAATTCGTAATTGTAGCGTGATTGCGTGTCTGGGCGGGTAATAGATAGCAGACGTTGCCAATGGTCCTACGGTGCTTTCGAAACCCATTTTTAGTCGCTTGTATAGCTTCTGTGAAAAGCTTAATCCAGTGTAAGTTGTGTTGGCTGTAAGTATTTTGCAATATACAGATCCCTGTAGTAAGGGTGGCAAGTATACTCACACTCAGTAAATATATCATTTTCGGTGCTTCCAAGAAGGTATTTGGTAAGTTTTTGACATCTACAGAGCCGGACGTCTGGGTTTGACTAGAGTTAACTTTTTGAGTATGAGCGACTTGACCAATAGGGTTGGGTGTGAATTTTCTCTTTCTCCGAGGAGGGAATTTATAATAAACTAAGCAATCGTTAACATAGAGAACATATTATATTATATTATACTATCAGATCTGCCTTCTACCAACAAATAGTTTCGAGGTAAATTTATGCAAGCTGGCTTTCTACGGCAGTAGAAGATTTTGAACGTAGCATGGATTTTATTTGAACAGAGATTGAAAATAACAATCAACATTTTCAAAGTGTCTCAAAATAATTGTTAACATGTGAGAGAAAAATTACTCACTCAATGACGAAAGAACTTTATTTTTGGTTATAGTACATTAATTTTTTTCGTCACTGTCCTTCTGCTTCACTTATCACTTACATGTAAGTTTGTTACTAAATATACATATATTTATATAGGTTTATATATGCCTACATTTCTCATTACAAGGGACCAACGGGTCTATCTTAAGTGTATCAGCCGGCCAATGTAACTCACGATGGAGAAAGTGGTCTCCGTATTTTTCTGAAGGCAGGTGAAACGGTTTGTAACTTCTGATGAAGAGTATCACACCCATTCTTCTTGTACCAAGTTATAAGAAGTGACTGTTTACTTTCGGATAGAGTTTTAAGCCATCACATCATTTGAGAATGGACTCCTCCCTGAGAGATATCTCTTGGGATGTGATTGGTAACACACACTCTACTAATTTCAGTGAAGACTACCCTATTCATCAGGATAGTCTTAACGAGTTTCATTATGGGACTTTCAAAGCGATTTACTTGAATTAGATTTTTTTTATTACTGCATCCATAAATACGTTGTTAAAAGCTCCTATAATGCAGAGGCATTTGACGTTTTCCTTTCCCCTTCTCCAATATGTGGGGTGCGTAATTATGGGTTTTCAACAAATGAAGGGAACTAAAGTATGTATTTTTATAAGGATTGGTTCGCAGTGTTAACCACTCGGCTATCGCAGCAGCCAAGCTATCTCTTGGGGAATCTAATGCAATAGAAACGTAAGCCCTTTTCTCCGTTTGGAAGATATGATATATTGTGTTCGACCCGTTTCGATCAGTCTTCGAAATTTACGCTTTTATCGAGTTCTATCTATACTGCATTTTGATCGTTTTTGTAAGTAGCATTTTAGTTAGAGGATAACGATTAGACTTTCCTTTTTCTTATACTTATGTTAGAATTTTCACAAAAATGTAAGTAAAACTTGATTTTGATAGTTATAAAATTCCTGACGCTACCTTGTGAGAAGGTTGCTATTGTTCTAAATTAGAGCTCAGTAATAATATATATGAGAGTATGTTAATGAGAGTATATAGGATGGCGCAAAGAAGTTATTATATTTATTAAACTAACTTTATATATTTTTATTGAATACTCGTTGTAAGTTTTTAACCCTTTACCAAAATTATAAATATTGCATGCCATTAAAAGTAAATATATATAATTGGCGCTTTCAAACTCATGAAGCTCTTACTATGCTGAGGCATTTGGTATTTTGATTTCCCCTCCTCCAATGTGTGGGAAGCGTCTCAGAGGGGTTGACAATTCCTGTCGAATGGCGACTGCAACTAGGTAACTTAATTTTTTATTTACCTTAATTTTTTATAACTTTTAGATGTTGGTCGTACGAGAATTTCAACCCTGGCCTTCTGAATGGCAGGACGCAATGCTAATCTCTCTGCTACCACTTAAAGGCCATTAAGGTCATTAAGAGTAAATAGAATCATAAAATATTTGTGAGAAAAAGAGAATACTAGCGAGCTAAGAGCGCACAATTGGGCTATGAAATGCCGAGCATAGCTTGGAAAGCATTTGATCTTCAATCAAAAGAGTCCCTAATTTAGAGAATGTTATGTGCAAATACGTCATATTTTTTCATTTTTATTTATACTTACATGAACATATATTATATTAGAATGTTTGATTTGACTTTTCTTCTTTTAATATATAAACAACTTCGTTTCGGAACTGAGGTCTGAGTGTAGGTGCCATTTACATCAATGTAAGGCTACTAAACTTGGAATAACTAATAATAATACGACTAATACTTATTTACGTCCGTATGTATACCCTTGAAATGAGTTGCTTTGTGATGAGCGTATGATTCATAATGCTAGATAATCAGTAAGCTAATGAAACTCCCACATGCACTGGAGGCATTTCATATACGTATGCAAGCCCTTATTGCATTTTTCGCGTACACACTGTAAGAGGGAACAATAAAGAATATTTATATTAACATATTTTATTTGAGCTCGCACAATTACTCATTGCATACTAGATTTGTGAGGGAAAGGGGTTGCACATTTGATTTGATTGCGATTGCTTCATCAGTTTGGTTAGCGTGTTGGGATCACCGCAATCCCCCAGAGATACAATCTAGGCAAACAAAACTTATGCCCGCTATTGAAAGAAGGGGATGGAATTCCACTACTTTAGTTGGACAAAGTGTACAGTAGTATGTACATATAAATGTTCTAATGTATGAATTACAGTTCCCTCGATAAAAGAATTCACGCAATAGTATTTAATTGGGTATTGTTCGAGCTCATTGAAAAGAAACCCTGTCCTGGAGCAAATCATATAAATATGACTGTGGACAATCCAAACACAACGTATGGACTATGTCAGTGGTGAATGCACGTTAGTTGGTATGAACTCCTAAAACCCCAAGCTGCGTTTGCGCCTGGCGCACATACATATATACCATAAATTGTATTCTTTGGTATAAAAGTTCCCAAGTGCGCTTCCCTGAAAAAATGTATTTTTGCTCTAAAACTTTCAGCCGCGATAGCAGATTAACATTGAGTACTACCATTCGCCAAGGTTCGAGTCCTGGTTCAACCGAAAACAAACAAATGGCCAACACTTTTTTGCTTTGTGTTACGACGTTTCGTATTATAATTTCGTTTTTGTTGTTTTATTTATAATTTGTTTGCTTTCAAAACAATAAAAACAGAAAAACAGATGCTATAAGCTGAATATTGTTTTATTCGCCGATTTTCTTGGAACTCGATTTATATAGGTGGTTTTCTGTTTAGATGTGGGTGGCTTCTTGCCTAAATTAATAGAAAGCTTGCACCTTTCTTACTTGAAATACGGTACATAGGCGTTTTTCCCCTAAATTAAAAGGCATACTTTTATTCTCTCCGAGAAGTTGACCAGGGACGGACCTGCTTTATGGTTTGATTTAATTGAAATTGGGTACATACTCATACTTTGTTTTAATTAAATATTTGCACGTAATGGGCCGGATACCATGAAAACATCTTCGAATTCGAAATATAAGTAGTACTTTCTCTACGGGAAAAGTATTACCGACAAATTAACAAAAATTAGTATAATTTGTATATAGATCATACGTAGTTATGTTCGCTTCACATTTTTATTATTTTGCGGCTGTGAGTTACCAGGTGTTTTAATGGGAGTAAATAAACATATGTCCGAATGGTGCGCTTAGTTTAATTTGAGTCATTGATTTTGGAATTTTAATGAAAGACTTTGAGCAGCAAAGAAGTGGCCCACTCATCTAAAAAAAATAGTTAAATCAATAATATCATAAAAAGCTTAGTAATTTGGCTTAGGCCGGTTTTTCAAATTTTGTATTACATGTATTATTTATAGATTTGAAAAATCTGGAAAATATTTATTTTAGACAAAACCTCAAATCCGTCTCGGGTACGGATTGTCTTCCAGAAATACAGAAATGGTTTCAGAAAGCCTTCAATACTTATAGAGCGAGTGACAAAACGTCCAAATACTTTGTAAAAACTTTTACTCCGTCGTCGGCCGTTGTTGCTAAGAATTTATGATAAAATAAAGATCCACAAACCTTAGCGATGCGCAGTTTACTTTTGTTTGCTATTCAATAACTTTACCGATGCATTTTGGAACATGATACATCGCGTTTGCACAGCTGCATTTAGCGAGACAATGTATGATTGCTTTGCAACTGCTGTTTTGGAACTCACCCATACTTTAGATGGTTGCATTTGCATTTCAGAAAGACCCAAATACATTTCATGTTGATTAGTTCAATATTTTAAGAGTTACTCATATGCGTTTCAGAAACTTTCAACTTTTTATTTTCATTTCCTGCCCAGCAAAGCAGTCGAATGATCTTCAGCGGACTTTTTATACTCAACTATATTCTCAAATGAAAAATTTTTCAAGTGTAAGTAAATGAAGATTTCGATAAAAGGGTGATCTGAACTTGAATAAATAAAACGCTCTCACCTTGTGCACTCCACGCCTAATGGTCGCCCATTGATGTGTTCCGAACAGGCTCCAATAGTGAAACTGGAGGTGTTATTCGCAGCAGAAGCTGCTGCTGCTGCAGCAGCCACTGCAACAGCCGCTGCAGCATTTTGTTGTTGCTGCTGGCTTACCACTACCGCCGCTGCCATTGCTGCTGCAGAGACATTGACGGCTGCACTATTGGTCGGCGACGATGATGTCAAATTTGCTGTGGTTTGTAGCACAGCGCTGCAACTACTACTGCTGCGCGTTGGTGAGCGCTGCTGTGTTGTATTAATGGTAAGCATGTGGCTTGTACTGCAAAACGGTGATGATGGCATATCGCAACTTTTGCAGTCAGTACCTTTATACTCAAAATCTTGAGAACGTTGTTGTTGATTTTTTAAATTGAGCTGTTGTTGCAAGAAGTCGCTGAATAATTTAGCACTTGTCTTTTGCACCTCCGTTGTGCCGCTGTTAGTATTACCGTAGTTATCAGATAAAACTGCTAGTGAATCATGTAAGTAGCTTAGGTGATTTCGTGTGGGTGCAATGGACATTAGTGCTGCTTGCGGTGTGGTCAAATTGCTGCCACACATTGTTACACATTGTTGTTGCTGCTGCTGCAGAAAGTTCTTTGTGCACGAAGATGCATCGGATTTTTCCAATTTGTTGTCATCTACCGTTGTAGTCGCCGTTGACGCCGGAACTGACGTGGAGGGTTCTGCAAATGAAGTCATAAGACTACTGCGCTGCATCTGCAGGATATCAGCCACAGTTATGGGGGTATTAGCTGTCACAGATGACACATCCAGTAAATCATTTTCGGTTTTCGAAACTGTTGTTAATGATGACGGTCTGGGACATTCACCGGAATATGATACGCCAATATTGCTGTTAACGGCATGTGTTGTTAGAAGAGTTCTGCACACTTTTTGTCTTGATTTTTCTGAAATAGTCGCATCTTCAATGAAGTCTGCATCAGTTGTTGTCATTGAATCTGACATATGGAATGCAGTGTAACCACCTTTAGATATATTTTCTGATTTACTTTTTGGTATTAATGATGAAATTAGCGATGGTGACACTATCACATCTTTTAATTTAAAAGGGCCAATGACGTCAGTTTCTACAATGTCGGTTGTATTATATTCCTGTGACTTCTGCTGCTGTTTCAGTATTTTGTTATCAAATTTTGTGTTTGTTGCCGTCACTGCATTGTTGACCATAACATCACCTGCTTCGTTCATCTGCTGCTCGCGTATACATTCCGAAAGAGAGGTTGCCAGCAATAAATGACTGTTGCTGATACAATCTGTGACAGAGGATGACAAAGTTGAATGTTGTGCTGTAGACGCTGATGAAACAACTGATTTCGGTGAGGTTGGTGTTGATTTGGGTAGGTCTGGCGATAGTGAAAAAGAGCCTGCTGTCGATGGCAATATTAAAGTTGAATTTAATATTGTTACATCCGTTATTGCCTCAATTTCATCAGATTTTTCATTAATAACATTTTCAGCAGTGTACCGGTCCGGCACAGCAGTATTTCTAGCGCTGCGTAATTTGCACGTTGACGACTGTTGCATTGTGGAATCTTCATCAATTTTTTGTACATCAGTCTCAGAATTTAAATCGTCGTTTCTTATAGCTTTAAGCATTTCAATTGGCTCAAGAAAGGATATTTGGGGACACTCGTCCATATTTGGAGGTTGTATAATGGCGCTGGAATATTCGCGATTTAATAAATTTCGTTCTTTTGGATGTAAGGTTAGTTGATGTTCGCAATTCGCATGTAAACTAAATGTTTTTGTATTTCCAAATGACAGTTTGCATATAAAGCACATCAATATCGGTTTTTGAATTTTGGAAGAGCGCTGTACGATATTACTATTAGAACTAGTACTATCATTTTCGTTGTCGTTATCGTTATCGCTTTCGTTATCAATATCGTTAGTGTCGGTGTTTTTGCTTTGACTTTGTTGCTCTTGCTGAAGCTGTTGATGTTCACTGAAAGTACCGAATTTCGTTTGCTCGACGCTGCTTTTGACAAAGGCGGATCTGTTGGTGCTGATTGCGGCTGTAGCATCCTGAGCACTTACAATACGAAATGAATGTATACGTGGGCTCGTGCTGCTCGTTAGCCAACTGGCTTGTTTTATACCTCGATTGCACGAGGCTTCCTTTAAAGTTGCTGTTGATGATGCATCGCCCAATGGTAAAGCCTTTGCGGTTGCTGCAGGAGTAAGGGATCGGCTTGATGTCACTCCTCCATCTATCTCATTTGCCGTCGCTGTTACTGATCCTGCTGTTCTTTGTTCCAATGTTGCTGTTAATTCATTTGTAAATAATTTCATTATTAATACATTATGTATGTACGCACATATAAATACTATTTAAACAAAGATTTAGCGATATCAAAAATTTATTCTGGAACCCTTCAAAATCTGCCAACCCATAGTGTGATTAAAAATGTACATAAGAGGACAGCTATTGAGTATTTTAGATTGTTTTCATAATTAATCCTACAAAAGTTCGCTGATTATTGTTGCCTGTTAATAACGCTCACATGTCTGTAAAAGCATCTATACTCGGTAAACTTTAAGTCTACTGGTGCAACAAAAACATAGAATTTATTGACTCAGTGATATTTGAAAAGATTCTATCAGAACAAATTTACACGCACATACAGAGATATGAAATCCATAAGGACAACATCTGACTAAAAGAACTCAACTCAATACCCAAAATTATAATTTTTTTTTCTAAACTCCGAGTCTACTTCTGACATGAAATAAAAGGCTCCTTATAGAAAAAAGTACATCAATTTTAGAATACGGTGAACTTAAGTTAAACTTAATGGCTGCTACAATGTATAATATAGACATGTTAGTCTTTTGAAGTGCTAGTTGGAGATTTACTCAAATTCGAAAGGAAGCAGTAGTAATTTAGGACATCAACGATCTTTCGGAATTGCAACAAAGTATTGATTTCTATTTTTGAGACTTTTTCAAGTTCTCCGAATCACGAAGCCCCTATATACCTGATCAGGCTAGTCAGAGGTGTTCAATATTTCAAATCTACCTACCTACATTTGGACGCATATGACTTAAGATAAGTGAAATGTCTTAAGATACGTAGTATGAACCAGTAAGAAATATTAGACATTTGACTGGTATTTATTATAAATGCCAGCCGGCTAAATTGACTTTCATTTAAGGAAGTACAGTTATATGGGAGATAGGGTATTACAGATATTTGGTAAAGGGATAGTTGTCATATTACAATATGGAATTGGAAGTATCAAATTTTATCTATTTCTCTCCGTTTGCTTCAAATATATAATTTTTGATACAAGAAGTTTTCAAGGCAAGCTTCACCAAAATATCTCAATCAATACGTCTTGACTTCATCGGTTCGTCTCGTAATTCCATGGACATTTCTATCTCTAAAAAAAAATTGTTAGGAGGTACAGCTCTACTTAAGCTTATTGGACACGCACAAGCTATATGCTCTACTTTTTTTGTATTGTGAGATATGCAATGAAAATTAATGAACCGAATAACGAATGGGAAATACTTCTGACGTCTCCTTGGAACCAGTATCAATACAGTGTTCAAATCATTTAGATTTGTTATTTTAAAATTGACATTACATGCCTTGTTCTCACTGTAACCGGTAAAGTTACTTTTTTTAACATCCGAAATGTAATTTGGTATTCTTGCGCACTGCTATGCATAAATTGTTTTGATCAGGCGAAAATGCTGAATGAAAACGCTATCTTTCAAATTAAAAGGGTCATTCTTTCTCGCAAACTTCTTAACATTAAGATTTTTTCTTCAACTTCTTACATTTCTAGACGACCGGCTTTTTTCTCAAACTAATAGAATTCGATTGTTGCCGATAATATTCATCTTATGTATAATAGGACAGGTATGTATGTATTGTATGTATAATGTAAATAATATGCTTACCATTGGCAACCGAGTCAGTTGAACTTTCTGTAGCAATAATAAAAGCATTACCATCCGAATTAAAAACAATTTTTCCTTGAAACACTTCAACATCTGTCCTTAACATTGGTTCCTTATCATCCGCTTCAAAGATCTGTAAGGTAGTTTCATTCACATCATAAAAATATGGTTATATAAACCGTTTTTAAATAGCAATTGTTATATAATATCACATATGAGTTTGTATGTGACAAGGATAACACAAATACTAAAAAGAAAAGGAATAAATAATATTTTAACCAGAGATGCTCAACAAACGCAACGATATAATTCCGTTTCGTTAACAAGAAAAATTAATTAATTAAAAGCAAAAAGCACGAAATGAAGCCGTTAAGCGTAAACGTTAATTAAATGGCTGCTTGCAATGCTTCAACAGCAAACTACAATTTTAACGTTTGACATTATCTGTTAACGATTTAACATTCATATCAGCTTTTCGTTTCGGGTAAAAATGGAATAAAATTTAATTTAATTACTGCTTTAACGATAACATTTCCAAATGTTTGAACCGAAATTATAGAAATAATTTGCTTATCGTAACCGAAGCAGCCTTGATTTTAACATAAAACAAATTGAATATTTTGACCTATAATTAAATATATAAATAGGAAAATAAGATTTTAGAAAGGTGGCTTTTGGAATAAAATGAATAATCTTTCATGAATTACTGGTTTATGTAATAAAGATTTATTTGAAACGAAAACGTTATTCTTGTTGTATCGAAATAATGAGAAATTTTCCAAATAATATTATTCCTAGGATCCTTTCACGGGAAATTACTCAGTAATAACCAATTAGTTATCTTTCAATGCAAAACTGTCTAATTTTCATCGATTCAGTCAATTACTTCAAGAGACTAACGTCAAAAACATGTGCAGTATGTGCACATCCGTTTCACAATATTAATGATAATTTGCATAAACCCTTCTTACTAATATGTCCCTCACATTTTAATGGCATATAAGTCCAGAAACCAGGTCGGCCAGTCCATGATTTATATGGTGGAGTCAATCAAAATATGCCGCGTTTCATTGCTTAAATGAATGCGAGAATTATCATACTGTAAGATTAGTGACATTCCCAGTAAGCCTCTACTCAAGGAAGAAGGGTATTTTCCAACACTAAGGCAATCTCTGCTATTCAGACTACGTGAACATTAGATCAATCCAATTTTTATAGAATCCTCTCCAACGTAGGGTTTAAAAAAGGGTTCTCTCCAATAAAACTAAAAACATTCTGGGCCGTCAAGATTCCATTTATTGGTTAGTGAAGAAAATCTTTACAACAAATAAAGTAAAACAGAAAAATTTTACCAATAATAGTAATAACTCCCTGTGTCCTAATAGGTGTACCTTTTTTTTTTGCAAATCGTAGGCCCATTTGCTTGTGCCGTGGCAAAAGCAGAGATTTTTTCATCAATTTAGATAACTTCAAATGCTTACCACGGCGCAAGGTAAAAATTTGCAGATTCGAATCATGCCAATATTTTTCCACGTTTTTCACTTGATAATATTTTAGCCCGCATTTTGCAGTTTGTTTAGAAATCTATCGGATTTAGCTGGAATCTCATTAAAATCTAACTTCGGAATCCAATTTAGTCATCTTGAAAAAATAGGAGGGGCAGCATACGAGTACTATGCAAGAAAAGATAAATATTATATAACGGATAGTAAACTTTGATGCCAATACGGGGAGAGAGAAATATAATAGTACATTTATTGATTTTAAATTTTGTAGACATAAGAAAAGTATATTATGATTCTGAAAGTAAAATAATAATAATAAATACGAAATATAAAAACGTCAATGAAAATAATATAACACTAAACTAACAAACTAAATAAATCAAAAAGTGGTGCGTTGTTTTTTACCAAATAACTAATTTATTAATGCATTCGTCTAGTATGTCGGTTACCGTCAGGCTGGAGTTGCATAGTGTACACACGGGTACATAAGAACCCTTTAAAAGATGAGAATGTGTACTTGAAGTGTGGCCTGTTTTTATAATGATGCTTATAGTTTGAAAATTATTCTTCTAGCGTTGAATTAAGGAAGCTTTGAATTCGACTACGAATGTATTTTGCAGTAAAAGAGTTGTACAATTTATTGTTTCGTTACCCTATTTTTTAGCGCGTATATCGGCGATTTACTTTGATTAAATTATTATATTTGTATTGTGCTTCACGTATATTTGCAATTAATACCGTGGCATTTTTTGGGTTTAATATAGCGTTTATTGTCGATTTGCTGTCAGTGCATATGATGTGTTATTTACCAGATTGTACAACGAAGTAATATTCTTCGTGTAATGCATCTGCATGAGCTGTAAGTACAGAGCCATATTGTAGTAACGAGCCGATTGTGAATGTGACACCTTGATTGTTTGTCACGACAAACATAGTACGGGTATTTGATTTTGATCTTTTCCATCGGTGTATATGGGCTTCCACTCATTTTTATAAGACAAAATAGCAGAGCTGTAAAGCTGTAAGCATCATTGTGTTGCATATTATGATCAATTTGTGGAAGCCAAGCATCAGCATCCGATTTGATTGGAAAGCGCATATGCTTCTTCTTGCGACTGTAAATCGTCAGGCCGAAGTCTTTTTTCGATAACACCAAGGGTTTTGCAAAATTAACCAGAGTTGATAAATGAATATGGCAGTGCTTAGAAGTTCGAAACTTAATAACATTTAACTAAATAAAAGAAAATAAGCTTAATCTAAGATATTCACAATGGTCGTTATAAGTAAGTTTCTTATCAAAAAATATGCCAAGAATTCTTATGAAGTTTTTGCGTGAAATTTAGGTATTGGAGAAGGAAGGATTCGGGACCTTACATTTTCGTTTCCTGCAATACTGTATTACCACCAAATCTGTCAAAGGCTTTCTCAAAGTCTAGACTTAGGACTGATAAGTGATTTTTGGAAGACATAGCTGTTGATGTATGATGCTCAAAGCACATAACACTAAGGCCGGTTTGAAAGGCGTACTGATTCGGGCTAATGAGTCCCTTTCTTTTGGCATACCACATGATTGTTGAGGAAACTATTTTTTTAAGAACTTTTGACATACATAATCCTAATGGAATGGGTCTGAAATGTTAGGGAGTATGTATTTGGTCTATATGGCTCCGAAGTAGGAATAATTACGGTTTTCTGCAGTCTTCGGGATAAACATCATTATCACACTATTGACTGAGAACGCGTGCCAGGCAACGGGATCTTCTTTGAAAGTTCACAGGTGTCGCCTACGGAGAATTAGTTGACCAAGAACTTGATAATTCTTGCACTTCATAGATATTCATAGATATTTGCGATCAAAAGTTAGGAGCACAGCTCTACTTGGAGTTGGTTGTTCATTTTCGTCTTTTGGAACGTTGTAGACTGCTGTAACGTCCTGTTCTATTGAATTTTCATTTATTTCTTCTACGCTAACTTCGTTCAAGCAGGGAGCGTAAATGGTGCTCTTAGAAAAATAGGGATTCGCATGCAGGTCAATTTTAACATTGCGAACTCCCACTAGCTCGTATTTCGGTATTTGATTTCCTTTTTTTCATTTTGATAGAGGACTAGGGAATATAGGGCGCTCTTATTTATTCCTAGGCAAGTCCACCGTGGGGGTTTGTTTGCACAATTTTTTCACCATTTTGATTTTACAAAAGTTACGAACACGTGCGCGAATGTAAAATAATTAATTGTAAAGTGGTAAATGTCGCTCTCAAAGTCAGTGTGTAAACAAGGTTACCACTGTGAGCACAACTGAATGCGTTGAGTGGCAGTCTATGACTGAGCGTATCAAAGAACGCACGTCGGCTAAATTAGCGCACTTAATAGTTGTTGGTTAATAATGAATTTAATAATAATACAACAACATATTATATTGCTGATGTTGGCGCAGTGGTAGAACACTCGCCTGTTAGGTCAGGATCCGTTGGTTCGATCCCTCCCATAAGAAGTCTGATGAGGAGATGTGGTGATCTCCGAAACAGCTGTCACTTCTACGATTTTTTTTTTTGTATAACAAATATTCAATTCATTCAAATAACAAGGCCTCGTAGTTTACTTAATAAAAATTAATATATAGCATGGCCGCAAAAACAAATTATAAACATATAAGTTGAACCTGATACCTTAATCCTTTCTATACATTTTTCAGTCAATTAACGCCTGAAAGTATAGAGGATTCCAACGCAACACACTAACCAAGATGTTAAGAAAATAGCGGCTAAATTAGCGCAAGAGTTGTTGGTTAATAATGAATTGTATAATACAACAGATTATATGGCTGATGTTGGCGCAGTGGTAGAACACTCGCCTGTTAAGTCAGGATCCGTTGATTCGATTCCTGCCATAAGAAGTCTGATGAGGAGATGTGGTGATCTCCGAAACAGCTGTCACTTCTACCATTTTTTCTTTGTTGTATAACAAATATTCAATTCATACAAATCACAAGGCCTCGTAGTAAAAATGAATATATAGCATGGAAGCAAAAACAAATTATAATACTAGGAAGGTTTAACGTCGAAAATCCGCCGGTGAAAGCAGACGAAATGGAAGGTCACCACTCCGTTCGAAGGATCAGGTGGAGAGCGACCTGGTTTCGTTGGTGCCCAAGCCGATAAAGAATACGAAGAGTGTTAATGTCTTTCATTGTATGGACGAGCGGTGTAAAACTTATTTCTTTTGTCGACATGTTCAAAGGCAGCTCGAGTGTTAGTTCAGCTGTTCGACCGCTTTAAATCCTTGCATAAATCAATGATATCGAAAACGTTTCCCCACTCTAGGAGCGTCTAAGAAAAAATACCATCTGCTCCATTGTTCTATACTTTCCTTAGCGAAGACTGTTGAAAAAGGAACGTTACTTAGAATTTTTTTTTTTGCATTTTGCGTCAGTATTATATGAGTCACACATTTGACATTGATTGGACATAAAGTATGGGTTTAACATTTGACAAACTCACAGGATTTTCGAGTTCGAGTACATGAGTGTCATTCTCTAGCAATCCAAAATGTTGGCAGGATTTCCCTGGAACGTCGATCAGCACAAGGTTGGATTATGTAAAAACGTCTTGCGCATCGGCAATAAAAAAAT